CCTGGGGAATGCCATGTGGCTTTACATGTTTTGATTATGTGTGAATAAAAAAAATTAAATTATTAAAAATAAAAATAACTTCTATTTAAACAAACAAAAAAAAAATTGCACAAATTTTCTCCTTATATTCATTTAAAAAATATAAATTTTAAATTAATCTGTTTGTACTCCTAATATTCTAAATTTATTTCGATTATGAACTTGATATCTTCATTCCATAAATCCTTCTCTTTCTCCCTCTTATTTCTCTTTAATTTTTCTCGATTCTATGAATTTGAAGGGTAAAAAGGGTGCAATACATATAGATTGGCTAAGAATAGGAAAGGAGGGCAGACTGTAGATTGGGGATCTAGGGATCTAGGCATCTGACATCCCGGGGTCATGAATCCTAATTGAACCCGTATGATGGGTGTATTTGTATTTTATTTGGATATTCGGAAGTGAGTGGTTGAATGAGATTGTGTCAAAACTTGTGATTTTAAAACTTTTAATTTACATATCATGTATATCTTGTTTCTTTTGTTTTGTTTTAAATCTTGCAGTTATGTTTGATTAACTAACTATAAATCTTTCGTTTTCATGATATTATTGTTTACCTTGAAGCTAGATGATAGCTTCCGTGTTAAAAGTGCACAAAAACTCCCTTCTTAATCATTTTCGGAACATGAAAATAGATGTCTTAATCTTATTTTATGAATAAAAGAGGAGTTGCCAACAATTTTGACGACTTGTGTTTAAGTTTTGATAATTAACTTCTTTTTTATTTTTTTATTTTTTTATTTTGATTTTCTCCCTTATTCCCATTGTTGTTCATATAGAGCTCTTCATCGAAAGTATTAGAAACTCTCTTCTAGTTTCATTTTAAAGGATGGAAATGGATGTCAATCTATGTTCCAATGGTAGGGGGAGGAGTCTATAATTTCTTTCTTCAATTAGGTTACCTCTTATTGATAAGCTTCTTTTTTCAAAGATGGTTTTCTTTAACCTATTCTCTCCAAATTTGAGTACTCATTTACTTTTATTCACTATGAGATAATAGGTTCCAACCAATTCTTTGAATGATTCTTTTTTCTTTTTTTTTTTCTTTTTTTTTTTAGTTTCGTACTTGCTAGATCTTTCATCTCGTTGCTTCACTAATCATCATGTAATACCCTTGGGATGTTTGATGGTTTGTGAAGCAAACCTATTTCCTCCTTGAATATCTTCAAGATAGGAGGGAGTAGGAAGGATGAACATCTTTTGTAAACCCTCTGTTTGCTCTGTTCCAGTTCTGTTGCAGCAAGTTTTCTAGCATGGTTTTATGGTTGGCCAGTCAAGTGTACGGCCGACCAATTCCTTTAGCCAACTGACCGACCAAGTCAAGGGCTGACTAACTCATTTGTAAGGCCAGTGTGTTTATTCAACTTAGCAGAGCAGATCTCGAGGTTAAAACAGAACTTTTTTCTACCTACGAACAAAGTAATTTATGACAACAAATACAGCTATTTTCGGCGGATGTTCTCGTTTGCTCACGCACGGTTTCCCGTCCTTTATTCAACTCCTTTAGATTAGCCGCTCTGAAATTTCTATATGTAATAATTAATTAATTCATTTGGGGATGTAATAATTAGTTAACTAGGCCATTCAGACTCTCTTGTAAGAGAGCAGATTTGTAACACTTGATGTATGTCTTATAATCTCCATTTTTTTCTCCCTTTTATTTACATGCTTATCATCGCTATTTATAACATTATGTTTTCCTTTATCAATTCCATGTTTTGTATCATTTTTTGCATGTATTAAGGTTCGGCTTATCATACTTAATGTTGTTATCATTTCCTACTTGATTATGTGCACTACCTCATGCTTTGAGTTGATTTACATCTCATGTTAATAGCCGAATCTAGTAGTATGCTGCATTAGTCATGTGCACTTTTAGGATCATGCATTTTTCTAATTATCTTTTCTTCGACTTGCTACGGATGAGTGCTAGGTGAGCTTTTTTTGCTTTAGCATATATCACATGTGTGTTTTTGTGTTACCATGTCGAGCATACTACCATGAGGCCACTCGTTTACTTGAAATAACTCTATGAATGCCTGTGGATGGAGACTATTTTGCTTAAGTTGGAATGACTTTGATTGTTGTATATATGAGCTTAGTTTTTTCTTTGAGTTGTACATACTCAAAACTCTTTCAAAATCGCATAAGATCAAAGCATTTCAAAGTAAATGACGTAGTCTATACTTGTTTGCTTCACATAATAATGTTGGCATTGCTAATAAATCAGAATATGAACATATAATGTCTATAAGATTCACATCATGACTTAGTAGAGGTTGATCTTTGATCGAGGTAGTGAGGTGCTCAATTCATGACATTCCCCTTTCATACCTAAGCTCTTGAACCGAGACACTTTGGTTATGATGGACAAGTGGCTTTTGGCACAAGTCACAGGTTTTCTAATTTTTTGAAAAATATTAGGTGGCGACTCTAAAATTTGGCAATGCAGTCCGTTTTTAGCATCTTTTGTGATTAATGGATTTTTCTAACTTTTATTCATTTTTTCCTGTTTCACATTGCACTTGTGAAGTTAGATTCAGAATCATGGGAGTCCGAATTGTATGGAATCGTACCCGAGGAGACTGAACCCCTTTGAAGAGCATGAAAAACCAGTTACAATGGGCTGTTTTGGTAGTGATGGCAATGACTGCATTGACTTCTGAAGGCATAACATTGCTAGCTGTACTACTACTGGGAGTAGCATTGGAACTGCGAGTAAATGTCTTTCTCACGGTCTCACTTCCTTTCTATAATGATTCCCTTTTTGATGGCATCCTAAATTCGAACCCGAATCTCATGGAGGTCTTTGAAGTTAAAGAGCGGAAGAACTATCATCTTCTGCAGTAATGTTCCAAGAAAATTTTTGACAAGCATATGGACTCAATCTTTTTCCAAGGGTCAGTTTGTCATCATGGCTTCCTTTTCCCTCCATTTGGTGATAAATGCCATGAAGCTCTCGTTGGGCTCTTGTCGGGTTGCCTCCAGCTCCTAGGTGGTTACCTCAATCTGTGTGTTATAGGAATATTGTGTGACAAATGTTTCAGCTAACTCCTTCCAGTTTTGCTTGATCAAATCATCTAACTTGGCGTGCCAAATAGCAACCACTCCTGAGATGGTTCTTCCGACCAAGCAAAGCTTTTGATCTCTAAATAAGCCCCTGGGCTTCAAAATGTCTGAGAAGAGGCGAATATGAACCATAAGATAATTAGCCTCATCAAATCTATCTATGTGTGGCATCATGAACCACTCGAGCAACCTCGTAGTTGTTTCAATAAACCCATCCTCGATGTCTGGAGCATAGTTAATCCCTTGTAATTTCTTGAACATTTTCTCGAAGTTGTATATTTTCGGCATAGCTGGGTCACAACTTCATTAACAATCGTGAGGAAAAGCCCTTCCATTTGTAGATTAGGTTCATGAAGTTCCTCAACTGGTGGAGGTGGTTCTAGAACTAGATGAACCACTGGAGGTGGATGAGATGTAGACACCCTAGATGGGTGTTGTAATCCGGCAAGAGCCTCACTGCTGCCAGTAACCCTATTGGAAAGTGCATCCATGCTTTGTTGAAGGGATAAAAACAAGTTTTCTATATCTATTGGAGGTTGGCCATCTATCACCATTGGAGGTGGATCCATCACAGATTTTAGAAATTTTGACTACAGAAGTACTAACAGTGAGGTTTTAACCTTTCTCTTTATAATTGGCGGCAAAGAAACTAACACTGGCTATCCCTGAATCAAATCTGTCTGCCAACACGAGTCCATAAAACTTGAGGGGATATTAGACCGGTTTGAAGCTATAGTGCTATGACTTCATAGTAAAACAAAAAAGGGAACTCCCAATCAAAATTTTAGTAGCATTCCAGCTTAACTGATCATTGCTAAAACTAAACTCAACCCCACAAACTAAAATGCCTAAACCACTCATCTGAATTTGAGAATCCCTGTATAGATCATAGTAGGAAATAAAACAAACACCCTTATGGTGGATAGGGTTACCCTGTCCTAGCTTTGAAATGATCTAGGGCTTCACTATTCAAACAAGTGGTATTATACATTTTAAATATAGGAGAGCATCCCGTCCTAATTTTGGAAGGTACTATAGCTTACTATGTACAAGGTTAGCTCTACCCCAAGGGTTGAAGTCAAGGTAACGTTACCAAAGAGTCCTTTGGGTAATAACCAATGAAGATCCTAAAAAGTTACACTGCAGGAATTTTTAGCATTAGCGACGTTTAAAAAACGCCACTAAAAGTCTCAAAAACGCCGTTAAAGGATAAAGTGATGTTTGTAATTGCGTCGAGGATACGACCCCCGTCTTAGGTATATGATGTTTATTAAACGTCACTAATGACTTTAGCCGGCGCTTTTTAAAACGTCGTAATTCTTAAACATCCGTTACGTGAAAACCGTCACAGTTAAATACTGACATCATATGACGACATTTAGTGACGTTTTTTCAAAAACGCCATCTTTTCTATTACAGTTATATGCTCACATCATATAACGACATTTAGTGACGTTTTTTTTCAAAAACGCCATCTTTTCTCCTTATTTTTTTAAAAAAATAGCACCTACTATTTATAGAAAGAAAAAATATAAATAAATTTCATTTGCACTCATTAAATCTGCAAAATAAGGATTTAATTGTCAAATTGCACTATTAGCTAAATAAGGTCAAATCTAAAAGTCAAGAATTCTATACAGAAGCACATAAACTAAAAAAATATCAAACAAGTTTAATTCCTCTTTCACCCTCTTCCAGATTGTTAAAATGTTACATTTGACAAACAATAGAAGAAAAATTGTTACATTTCCTACTTATTTATATTTAACCACAAACCATACCCCAAAAAATGTTAAAAAACCATCAAAATATTGGATAACCCATTCATTGGCCAACGCTTATTTCAAGGAACAAGCTGGCCAATGCTCCTACCAAAAACTACTGGAATCAGTCATAAAAAAATAAACTAACCCAAAAATAAAAAAAGAAAATAAAAAGTTAGCAAATTATAATCATTGCCAATCCCACCGCAGTTTTTACTATACAATATTAATCAACAAGTTTATGTTTCAGAAATAAGCTACAACACAAGTTCTAAAAAAGTCTAGGCATCAGTAGAACCTCATGTTGATGTAGGCAAGCTTCAAATCTTCTCCTATTTCTTTCTGTAGTTCCAGAAAGCCAGATGAACCAAGCCCAATATCTTCAATTTCTAGTGCTTGAATACCTATGCCCAAAAATTTTCCCAAAGGTGCTCCAACTTTGCTGGAGGACAGCAATATCAGAACCAATAAATCTGGAAATGAAATGACAAGAGCGGAAGTCTAAACTCTGTTAGACTGAAACTACATAAGCCAGACTAACCTGCCAAGGCCATTTTCTCCAATAGATAGAGAATCCAGTGGCCTCTTTAAAGTTGAAAGAACACCTACAAGTTGACTCACTCCATTACATGAAAGCTCGCAATTTTCCACTTTCAAATCAGCAAAGTGAGAGTCCCCTTTCAGACATCTCAACAAAGTAGGGGATTAAACTCCTGAAAAGTCCGGAACAAGTTGTAAGACTGACTGAACTGGACAAAACCTTGTCCCAACTCAACAACAAAAAACAACATATCACTATTTTCATTTAAAAAATCAAACTAAAATTACAAGTGGAAACCAAAAATTTAATCAACCCTTTAAGGACTTAAACCTCTGAATCACAAGGCCTTTGATCCAGATGCTTGAAATTTGTCAACAACCCATATACGGCAAACACTCTAGATTATGAATTTAAGAACACCCAGTTTCAAAGAAGTGAAAATTTGGGTATCAATCCCTTGCCATAATGTACCATTGGAGTCTCTGCCGCCGTGTCGCCACCCGTCCCTCTTCGTCTCTCTGATTTCAGAACTGAGAGAAAAGATCAACATATCACTATTTTCTTCGTCTACGGTCCTTGAAACAATAATACCCATCACAAAAAAACAAATATAGGGTACTTACAATGCCCTTGTTCCTTCCATAGTTATTAGGTTCTCGGAAAAGATGACTTGTATCACAACGAGCAGAGAAGTTGACAACTGCCCACCGTTCTATATGGATTAAAAACCCATCCAAAAACTTCAGGTCCACAATCATTTACAACAAGCTCTGATCCTCGACAACCGAGTTGACTAGAGATATCAATACCTGTTGGACGCCTAAAGAATTTTTGCAGAAACAATAATATTAGCTACACCCTTGATGAAAGATTAAAAGCACCAGGGAAATGAATACAGCAGGACTCCAATGTAGATGTCCTGTAAGTTGTAACACTGACGTGTGTGTATGGAAAAGCTAAATTTAGAGAAATCCAGTGTCCAGCATGGACATACTCCTGCACCATTAAGGACACCAGTTTTCTTCCTAAAAGAAACATACTTGACTGTTCATGCAGAAGTCATCCTCCATGGGTTGCTTCCGAGCAATATCTTCACACATGACTAACTGCTGCAGGTAGCTCAAGGACAAACCCACAGAATAGATATAGCCCGAGAACTATACTTATCAAAAAACTGATTACGTCATTTAAGCAAAAACATATACGCAAAATAACAAATGGAAGAATCACAAATAGATAAATATTAACTGCAAATCAAAAAGGAGTTCCACCAATCACAATATATCAGTTCACTCAGCCGGGGATAATTGTTTAATATCAAGAAAAGAAGGGAAGGAAAAACTTAAACCAGTTTCCATAATACTTCAAACCTGAAGCTATTCAAGCAGGTCTACCCAAATATTCACATCTTTACGTCGATGCATTTCTAGCACAAAAGCATCAAGTAGCCTTCGGATACATGAAAAAGCAGCAGTCTTTAAAGAGCCAAACAGACCATACCAAAAGTAGAGATGTGATCAATTAGAGGCCACCCGAACTTTCTACTCCAGTTTAGATGCACCCAATTCATTCTTAGATTTTGACATTACCTGCAAAAAGAGCAACAAAGAGCCTGCATTAATGGAAAGAAGTTGAGATTCGTTGATCCATGACAACTTAGGTCTCTTAGGTTCCTGAGTTCAACACTCATTAATACATCATTCTTAAACTAGAAAAGCAGTTTTTTTATTATTATTATTTTTTTATTTTTATTTTTTTTAATGACTGCATTTTATAATATGTAGATCACAAGAAACTCCAATTATCTCACAATGTTTTCTTAAATAATTGCGAAACAAGAAACCTCCAGAACTTTCCTAATCACTTCCAAATGGGCAGAAAATATGATATCAATGAGAAAACAACCATGAAAGATGCTACCACTGGGAAAACTTGTGTATAAACTATGAAGCAAGCCTGAGTGGTACTTTCACATGCATGAACAAATACAAACTGCACGTATTTACACACAATCAAGCAGTGGTGGAGCCAAGATTTTGATTCATGGGGGGTACCATTAAGTCGAATCCTTAGCAAGATCAATCACAACCTAAACGGATCCAATTTCCATTTGGTGATAGAACAACCAAAGATCAACATATCACTATTTTCTTCGTCTACGGTCCTTGAAACAATAATACCCATCACAAAAAAACAAATACAGGGTACTTACAATGCCCTTGTTCCTTCCATAGTTATTAGGTTCTCCGAAAAGATGACTTGTATCACAACGAGCAGAGAAGTTGGCAACTGCCCACCGTTCTATTCGGATGGGGGTGAAGAGTTGCTTTAAAAGAATAAAACAAGAACAATTTAACTGCCAAATTAGTTCACAAAGTTGCTGAATTTAAGCAAAATAGGGAATGTAAAAGAATTATCAATTTCTGCAACCCTCCACCTAAAGTTGGAACACTTCTCTTCCATTATTACAAGGAAGATAGCTAGGCCGTTTTGGTGTTCCATCATCAAGGCATGGCAATAATGCGGAATAATTAAGTTCAATGTTATCCACCATCAGCATTCCTCACTTTCAAAGAAAAACTTGGAGAAACAATAAAACAAAACAGTATTATAAGTTTTCAACTGGAATGTATCAAAATAAGAAGTTCCATGCAATTAAACAAGCAAAGCACTTACAATTGCTGATTGCAAGGCTTTTCACTCAAGCCTATGATCTTAAATTCCATGTTGCTGTGCCTTGTCTTAACCGTCATATTTTTTAGCATTTTCTTAGCCTGAACATGTCCAAACAATTACAATTTCAATAGACAAATAATAAAAATAAAGTACAGAACAAACTACCAATAAATTACCTTTGCCCAGTCAATATTACGAGGTTCCCGTGCATTCTGATTGGCTAGAAGAAAATCAATCACAGGTCCAGGTGTTAATATCATAGTTGTAGACACATCTGCACAATGAATTGTACGCAGCATTAAAAATGAAAAATCCCTGAAAGAATGACTGCCTCAACAAAAGGCAACCCCTACATTCAACACCATAAGTTCATTTAGCAAAAAGATAGCAGATGTGGAAACAATAAGAAACACAAACAAAAGGGGAAAGCCGATGGCCTTCCTTGTGGCCTAGTGGCATGGGTGGCAACACTTAGGTGCTTGCAAGGGTGAGGTAAGGGGTTCAATCCCCCAGGGTGCTAACTTTCGCCAATGAAAAAAACAAATAAACAAAAGAGGAAATGCTAAACAAAAGAGGTAATTATTTCTATATTGTTTCAATATAGACTAGCAGTAAAATAGCTCAGTCAATGCATCTTCCAATGACAATTCCCCTGTTTTCTATGATCAATCAAACAAAGGCTAGTTAATTTTCAAGGTCAAATTGTAGTAAAGATATAAGGAGGCTATTGTACTTTATGTATATAAACTAATACCATGATGATTCATTTCATCATGGGCCATAGATAACTTTTTGTTTGCATACGCTGCTCGCTTGGCCGCATTTCTTTTAATTCTCCATTCTTCATCTGACAAGAAAAAACGATTAATATATTTCAAAAATCTATGTCAAAGATCATGTTCTATAGCATATTACTTCTACAGGCCATAGGATCCCTTTGATAGACCTCATAGTTTGGGAACCATTAAATGGGGTCCAACTCCTTAGAATGAGCCCAATCTATACAAGACAATCAGATTCATCTCTTTAGACCAGTCTTATATGAGACAATGACTGAAAAGAAAATGCTATGGACCATGGTAAAATTGTGAAGCTGATTACAACCTACTTAAATTGCAATTCAACCAACTGAAACTTACCTCAGTTTCACCAGTAGTAGCAGCTACTAAACGAGCTACTTCCATCTTCCTATTTTTTTCAAGGAATGCAGCACGCTACAAAAGATTGTATGGTCAAATATGTGAGTTGTGAAGAACTAAAATACTATCATCAAAATGTTTTAGTTTAATATGAAAATATCAGACAGACAAAACCTCTAATGGATCCATGGCTGCATTTGATTTGTAGAATCTGTCCAAGAAAGGCCCTTCAACTGAAAACAAAGAAACACCAAAAGAAATCAGATGTAGATGTACAATATATTCATAACTGATGACTCAAATCATCTCAAAAGCATTTGAAGATCCCCCAAGTCTTTGTATCGCATCTTGTTGTCTACAGGAAGCATGTTTCAATGCAGATATAAAAATATGTTCTACCAATATACAAACATAGATTGAAAAAACTGAAAATAATGAGATTGAAAAACAGAAAGATCAAAGTGAATGAGATTCTATTGAAAAGAGAGCAGACCAAAAATAGCAAGTGAGAAGATTAAAAAGAGCACAATTTGACTGAAGAGAGGCCAGATCGAAGAGCGAGGAAGATAGTAAATCATGTGTTTGAGACCAAATCTAAGAGAGAGAGAGAGAGAGAGAGAGAGAGAGAGAGGATGAGACCAGAGGGAGGGTAGCGACGGGAGGACTAACCTTAGGAGGAGCTTCAATAGGTAGGGCGCATCCAACGCCATCGTGCGCGAAACCCAATATTCATGATCTCGTCTCCTCATCTTGCTTCGACTCGACCAGTCTTGGTCCCGATCCCAAACCATGATCTCGATCCTTTTTCACTCCTCGGTCTCTTAACCTCACATTTGTGCAAATCAACCACTTCACCTTCCCCTGCAAAATTATCCGAGTCAGAATTAAGAAAAACAAACAATCAGAAATTTCAACTAAATCGATTCAAGAATCGATGGATTTAGAAAAAAATAGAGCGAGAATTGAAATCGAACCTAATGAATCTCTCAAGAAGTATGCGGAGAGATAGAGAAAACAATAGAGAGAGAATGATAGACGGAAAGAGAAATGGAGACGGAGCACCGTTATAAAGCGAAACGCGTGCTTATAAGAGGATAATAACGCGTGTTTTTAATTTCACTTTATGCTTTCCACAGCATTTGTCAAAAAAACGTTGTCTCAAAAACGTGGTTATAGGCAAATTTTGTTGTAGTGTTAGAAGAGTCAATATGGCCTCTCTTTAAAGTTTGAGAACCTTAAATAGCAGAGCTACCTTTTTGACAGATCTCAAAAGGTTATAACACGAGGCCTGTAGACACCCCATTTTTGACCAACTTTAAGACTCAGACGTCATCGATTGAGCGCTCGGTGATGGTGCATGTTGTGCTCGTTTCGAATCTCTGGAGTTTTGGCTAAGAGCCTTGCCTCCAGGCCTCTGAATTCTGTTGTGCTTTGGTTCGGTTTGTGGACCGAACTTTGTTTCTCTTCCCTGGAGGAGGTGAGAGGTCTTGTAGACCATTTCTTTGTGGTCGTAGACCACTTTTTTTGGTCGTAGGCCACTTTTCTCGTTTGGAGACTAGTTTCCTATTTTTGGAGCCTTCGGTCGCACGCCTTGTCTCGGGACCACTTAACGTTCTCCGTTTGGCATGGTTTTTGAACCACACCTTGTTGCCTCTGCCTAGAGGAACACTATGGTCCGGGAGACCACTTTTGTGGTGGCATACCACTTTTGATGCCCGTAGACTAGTTTTCGAGGCTTTCGGCCGCGTGCTTTGCCTCCCGATCTCTCGTCTTGCATCCGTTTTGGTTTGTTTTTGGTACAAACCTTGTTTTCCTTGTTTGGAAGGTGGTACAAGGGTGGGAGACCACTTTTTCTCCTTGGAGGCCACTTTTCCTTCTGCCAACTAGTTTTCTGGTCGGATAACTGGCTTGCTTGGTCTTTAGGCCACATTTTCTGGTTTACCACCACACCACTAGCTTTCTTTCATGCCTTGGACTCTCTCTTACCATGGCCGACCAGTTTGTGTCTTGGAAGACCACTTCAAGTGGTCGCCCGACCACTTTAAGTGGCAGGCCGACCACTTCAAGTGGTCGGTTACTTTTTGGCACCTTTTTGGCACCTTTTTGGAGATACACGTGTATGGAGGGATTTGTTTGAGGTTTAACTTCTCCAAGAAGCTTTGCCTTTTAGTTTCTATAAGGGGGAGGCCCCCCTCCCTCCTCTAGGTTTAGAAAAAATGGGCTGAGAGTTATAGATATAACTTTGTATCTATCTTGCCTTTGTTCTTCGTTTTGTGCTTCAAAAGTGTTGTTTTGTCTTAGTTTAACACACAAACACACACTCAAACACCTTCCTTTGGTTGTTGAGGTGCTACGGGGTTGTTTTTGGTGCTCTTGGACTGGTTTAAGCTCAAAGAACTTGCTGGAGTTGCAGTTGTAAAGGAGGTCTTCAAGGGTGAGCATTTGACCTTTAAATCCCCCTTTCTTGCTTAAGCTTTTAGCCCTTCTTGCATACATTTTTAAGCTTAACTCTTAACTAGAAAAAGTTCTATTTTTAAGGGCTTAAAATAGTTGTTTAAGGTCAATTTTTCGTTGGGGGTGGTTTACCCCCTCTTAGGCTTTGTTAGGCCTTGTTTTGAGCCATCTCTTTAGGCTCTTGTTGAAGCCTTTGCATGACCTTTCTACCACTGAAATCCAGAGGATTTTCAGTGGTGGAAAGGTGGTTTTGGTGTCCTAAATAGGAAAGGGTCATCCCATCTCCTTGTATTTTGTTTACTTGCTCCATATGCCTCATGTTTGACCACCTTTGTTAAGCTTATGTTGGCCATATCTTAGCTTGTATTTGTGGTTATTTTGCTGAGGCATACCACTTTTTTTGTTTGGTTTGGTCACTCCATGCATGGTTAATACACTTGTAGTGTAAATCACACAAACTAGCTTTATATGCTTCATGAAGTAGCATGTCACTCTAGCATGTTTTCTTTCCATTTCAACATATTTTTGGTGATGTTTTTCCATGTCATGACTCTGTTTTGGTTTGGTTTGGTTGGCCCTTGCATGCTCCATACACTTGTAGTGTAATTTCATGAAATAGCCTAACATGCATCATATTGTAACATGTCATTTTATCATGCTTTTGGCTTAGCTCTGAGAAGACTTTGTTCATGCTTTAGCATGTTTAAGGTCTGATTTGTGTTGTCTTGGTCATGCATGACTTGCTTTGTATAGCCTTGGTTCAATCTAGCTTGTTAACTTTGAGTATTGAGTCCTCTAGCATGCACCACTTGGACTATTTTAATGATTTGGCATCATTTGTAATGTGACATGTTTCATGTCCATGCATTCACATTTGTCACTCATTCAATGCGTTGAAGGGTTTGCCCCTTTATGCCTTAACATGAATCATTGCGTATGCCTTCATGCCATAGCTTGCGAGCCATTATTTCAATGTGTTTTTGGGGTTATTATGCCATGATATAACTCTGATTTTTATTGGTTAAGTCATCCCATGCTTGGTCATAATAGGTGTAGTGTAATCCGCCTTATTTGCCTTGTATGCATCATGCCTCATGCTCACCATGCTAGCTTGTTTTGGCTTCCTTCTATACATGTTTTAGTATCATTTTAACATGTTCTTGGACTATTTTGGGTTGCCTTGGTCACATGCTTCATGTTTTGTATACTTATAGTACAAATGCTCTTGCTTACCTCAAAGCTTTGAGCACCATTACATGCTTCATTTGTGTTGTGTACATGATTTGGCATCACTTACCATAACATTTCAGAGCATTTAGCATTGCCATGTTCCTACCTCAATCATGCTTTAAGTGCCTTTGAGTGTTATGCATTGTTGCCTAGTTTATGGCTTAGCTTGTATGCTTGCATGCCTAGGCCTTTGAGCCCTTGTCTCAGTATGCTTAGGTCTTTATTTTGACCTACTTGAGCTCTGTCCATGCTTAGTTCATACATTTGTGCCATGTGTTACATGCCTCCTTTATAGTCCTCATTGCTAGCTTCACGCTTTAAGGACCCTAGCATGCCATACTTGTGTTGTTTGAATGATTTGGCATCATTTCTTACCTCATTTCAGTGCACTTAGTGTTGTTACACTCCCATGTTTTTCACTCTTTAAGAGTTCTTGAGAGTTGCACCTTAGTGCCTTAATTGGTGAGCCAATTGGCATGCATGCTTGTATGTGTTTTCGGTGCCTTCATTTTAGCATTATGGCCTCTGTTTTGGCATGGCTGAGGTCTACCGACATTCGGTTTAAGCCCATTGAGCATTGTGTATGCCATCTCACATCACATCGTGCATGTTATGTTGTTGTTTGCATTGCACATGCCATGCTCTTGATTTGCATTGTGTATGCCATGATCATATTGCATTGAGTATACCATGTTAGTTATTGCATTGTGTATGTCATATAGTTCATTCGCATTGTGTATGCTAGTATGTTAATTGCATGTTTGCATGCTTATCCCTACCATGTTTGTATGCTTGAGTCGCATTGTGTATGCCATGTTATGTGTTGCATTGCTATTTGGAATAGGTGTTAGTCTAAACACGAGGAATGAGGGACGTTTCATACTTCAAGTGATGAAACGTGCCTCAAATCTCGATCGTCGACACTCTTTATCATACATGATAGAGTTCTAGGCTTTATGTGTTTACTTGTGCATTCATTTTACATTGAATTGTGCAACTTCGCCTCTCGGCCATCATGCATTGAAATGCATGATTGGTGGCCCGAGGGTGGAGAA